TTGACCAGGCATGGTGGCTCACGCCTGTAATCCCAGCACTTGGTGGGAGGCTGAGGCTTCAGATCACCTGAGGTTGGGAGATCGAGACCAGCCTGACCAACATGGAAAAACCCTGTCTCTACTAAAAATACAAAAATCAGCCAGGTGTGGTGGTGCATGCCTGTAACCCCAGCTACTCTGGAGGCTGAGGCAGGAGAATCACTTGAACCCAGGAGACAGAGGTTTTGGTGAGCTGAGATCACACCATTACACTCCAGCCTAGGCAACCGGTCAAACTGTCTCAAAAAAAGAAAAAAAAGTGTTAATATTAGTATATATCTAAATGTAAACAATTTTGTACATATAAAGCATTTTGCACAGGGTTTGAAATGTAACAGCTTAATAAATTTAGTTAACTATGTTTTTTGTTTTGGGGTTCTTTTGAGATGGGGTTTCACTTTGTCACCCAGGCTCGAGTGCAATGGTGTCATCTCGGCTCCCCGCAATCTCTGCTTCCTGGGTTTAAGCGATTCTCCTGTCTCAGCCACGGAGTAGCTGGGATTACAGGCACCTGCCACCACACCCAGTTAATTGTTGTGTTTTTAGCAGAGGCGGAGTTTCACCATATTGGCCAGGATGGTCTCTAACTCCTGACCTCAGGTGATCACCCGCCTCAGCCTCCCAAAGTGCTGGGATTACAGGCGTGATTCACCGTGTCTAGCCATAGTTAACTTTGTTTTCTTTTTGTAATTAACTTTTAAAACTGAATAGTATTGCCATTATGATTACTTAGGTCGTGCCTTCCATGTGCTGAGTGCTGGCTACAGCGAAGCTCTAGGAAAGGAACCCCCAGGCTGGGAACATAGGATACACTTTATGCCATGACAGTTTTATTTCCAAATCCTGCTGCCATTGGTGGCAAGTCATCCTACAGGTGTTCTCCCGTTTTTTTCCTTCATAGCGAGCACAACTTATTGGTATTTTTTCTTTTCTTTTCTTTTTTTTGAGATAAGAGTCTCACTCTGTCACCTAGGCTGGAGTACCGTGGTTCCATAACAGCTCACTGCAGCCTCGAACACCTCAGTCTCAGGAGTAACTGGGATTACTGGCGTGAACCAAACCCAGCCCATAATTTTCTTTGTGCAAGCACTTGCTTCATGTCTCTCTCTCCCACTAGATTATAAACAACATGAGGGCAGGGATGGGTCTGTTTCACTCATTACTGGCAGGTGGGCAGATTCTGGTAGTCTTTTTGTTTGTGTGGTAGAAGAAACAGGACACTGTCCCTGTCCTGCTTCTGGAGTTGCAGCAGTCACTTTACAATCACGAGTTGCACAAGAGGGCGGCCAAAGCCACGTCATTACCAAGGATGCTAGAGAAAGAACGTGCCTGTAGCTTTGATGACTTCATTGAGCACTGAGCTAAGGCTCACCACTTTGAGACCTCTTCTCACATGAGAAAATAAACTTGTATTTAAGCCACTTTTGCTAGAGTTTTCTATTTTTGGCAATGGAACACATTCCTAAATGGTATTACCAATAAGACCAAAATGATATTCTCCAGAGACTTTCATCTAATGGGGACAGATGGACATGTAAACAAATCCATGCATTTGTAAAATACTTGCTTTGTGGAGCTCTGTACAGGGTGAGGTAATGGACTGCACTCAGCTTAGGTGATTAGGTGATGGCTCTTCCACTCACTAAGATAGGAAACCTAGGAGGTACAGCTTATTTGTGGGACAAGAGTAGTTCTTTGTTGGTTTTAAGTATCTGTAGGTCAACTAGGGGGAGGGATCAGGGATCCGGAGACAGCAGGATACATGGATCTGAGCTCCGGGGGGATGTGCTGGGGTATATAATGGCTGTCATCAGTGTGCACGTGACTGCAGCCTAAGAGTGAAAGTGTATTGAGCGCTTGTTTCAGGCTCTGTGCTGAGAGCTTTGTACCATCAACATCATTTACTGAGCAAACATTTACTGAGTACTTACTACTTGCCAATTAGACTTCTAACTGCTTCACTTCATTACCCCATTACTTCATTTATTTCGTTAAATTTTCCACCCAGAAAGGGAAGTACTATCCTACTATCCCAGTTTTAGTTATAAGAAAACTTGAGGATTAGGGAAATTAAGTTGCTAGTGAGTTGTAGAGCCAGAAACACCTGCATGCGGGCAGCTATATAAAAAAGACAAAACCCACCTGGGCAACATGACAAAACCCTGTTTCCACAAAAAATTACAAATATTAGCTGGGCATGGTGGCGTGTGCCTGTAGTCTCAGCTACTTGGGAGGCTGAGGTGGGAGAATCGCTTGAGCTCAGGAGGTTGAGGTTGCAGTGAGCTGTGAATGCACTGCTTCACTCCAGCCTGGGTGACAGAGGGAGACACTATCTCAAAGAAAACAAGGCCGGGCGCGGTGGTTCAAGCCTGTAATCCCAGCACTTTGGGAGGCCGAGGCGGGTGGATCACGAGGTCAAGAGATCGAGACCATCCTGGTCAACATGGTGAAACCCCGTCTCTACTAAAAATACAAAAAA